ACGGGGAGGGGGGGGGGGATTTAATAAATGAAGCTGACCTTGAATATATATTCATGTAATTGTCTTCTACATTCGTAAACCAGAATTCTTCCGTAATTTGTAACAGAGGAATTTTTTCGAGGAAAAAAAAATGAGAGGTCCATTTTCAACGAATTTCAAAGTTTATTACCTCATACTAAAATATTATTCACCCCTATTATGTTGATAAGATGAAAGATTGAGTGTGGATATCAATTCGAAGAGTTGCTGTTTCATGAATTTCTCTTTGTGTGTTTCCTAGGACTGGAAGACGCAGGAGCAAGAAGACGATAAAACGAGAGAACGGTTATCTTCTGGTACATAAAATTCCATGACGTTGACTCACACGTGTTCACGAGGTATGGTTTATGGTCTTGAGGAGAAGAAAGGGATTGTGGGTATTATCGAGAAATGAGGACCCTAGCCTGGACGGCTGTGGCTGAGTGCCCAGGATATCCTGCAATAAAACTGAATGAGGTCAGACAACTATGATAGCAGAAGAGACGGAGGTAACCAAAATACAATCTATAATAGAGAGATGGCTGATATGCCGTTGTATATCCGAATTAATTACGTTCTAATTCAATATAACTCGGTTGGTATGAATGCATGATTATCGAGTTCCACGCGAAACTTCATAATTGTTTAGAATTGTAAATGGGCATTGACTAATTAATATTGGAAAATTAGCCTGGACCAACTGAAGTGAAAACTTGGATCAATTCAGCAGCTGAATATGTAATCGTATTGTTATCTAACCGTAATTGTTGTTCATTTGGAGGGTAACTAATTGTTGCGTTCATACTGATATGAAAATAAGTGGATAATTGTGTTGTAGTTCCTTGGGTAATTTGAAGGAGATAGAAATAGTCGGAAAACAATTCACTGAGATTCCTGAATTTCTTGTGAACACGGAGAGGAGAGACCGAGAAAAATTACTATTAGTAATTATTATTATTATTATTAAAATTACTATTGGTTATTATTATTATTATTATTATTATTATTATTACTATTATTACTATTACTATTAGTGCCGAGAACTAGAATCATGTAAAATTCTAGAATACTAGGATTTCTTAGGTTCACAAATAAAAATTAGTATTAATATCATAAATTTTCGAGTACATTCCGTAATTAATTGTACGTGCCTCAATTTATGAAATGGCACTATAAAATTTGAAGGCCTATCATTTTTTTGTGTTCGAAAAAAAAATTGATAGAAATCCTCTAATAATTCCTATCCAGATATTTTTTATTGTTCTCTCTTTTAATTTTTACTGTGTTACACAGAATTTTTTCCAGACATTTTATAACCCAATATGATTGTTTAGCGATGAACACCGAATGTTTCCAATTCCGTAGTTGAGATTAACGATGGTAACTGCTGCAACGACTGTGAATTCGTACTTGGCCGACAAAGAAGTCTTTTTAGGGCGATGAAGAAATTTTACTGGGCAGCGCAATCATTTTTATTAGAATCCCAGTCCTTTTATTTAATTCAATTTCGAACGTTAAAATATGATTTATGTATCTCCCCTAAACTGACACTTTGATTCAATTTTTCTAAATTTCCAAAGCAAATGTAGACGTATCCGAAATACATTTTTCCAGTCATTTCATTTAACTACATTAAAAACCAACTATAATAATTACTTTCGATCACTGGTTTTTATCGTAGAGCGCTAGAGCTTTCCCACGATTAGGGTAGAAATATATTTTTTATCCGCATGCTCAGCTCACGAATTCAGAAATGTTTTTCAAGTCCGGTGGCGTGGCATAGTGGTTAAGGTCGTTGCCTCACAACGGATAGGTTCCAGGTTCGATTCCCGCTCGGGTAGAATGGTGAGAGCTAATCCGCTTTAAAAAGTCCTGATCAATTACCACATAGTCTCATCCGACTCGAAGCCATGTAAAATAATCATTAAAAAAAATGTTTTTCTCTTTTCTAATGAAAGTGCAATCTATGTTTATTGCGCGACGTCATCCACTAAACTAAAATCACGGAATGAAAGCAAACACTCTGTACTTACAGTGTTAAGTACCCAGTTACGGGTGGATATTTGCACGAATTGCATTGAAAGTGCAGAAGCTCGTGAGCCATTCGATATTAGCTCGGCTAGCAATAACTATTGTACTATAACCAACAGAGTACACGATACACTTGCCGTTTTTCCTTCCCTGAAACTCCGCTAGTTTCTGCTGTTGGGGTATTCTTCAGAATGGAATTATATACGGAGTCTATTTTTTATGTCAAGTATTTCTCGGGCGAAGGTATTTAAATGGAGATGGAAGAGGCGGTATCTCCAGCCGTAAAAAAGTAAATGCGCGGGTATTAATTTCCACCTTTTGAATGGTACACTTTTAATTCAAGCGTAAACCTCGTCATTTGCGGAGGATGCGGGTGTTTAAGTGAATTTTATTTCGTCGTGATTTAATGGAGAATATTTTTATGTCTATGAGGAGACGTGAATGGTCGAGATCAGTTCATCATTTCATCGTTTCTCTCTTAATGTGATATTAATTTACAGAATACAAAATATGACGTGTCGATTCTTATTCAAAAATCAATGGTCATTTGACAGGAGACGCCAAATTTTCTGGAATTTTTATGATGAATCAGTCAGTCAGTGAACGTTTCCAATAAAAGTTTAGAGCAAATTCACAAAATTGGTGACGACATTCGTCATAAAATGCCGATAAATTTTTAATAGAATAATTATTTGAACTTGCAAATTAACAATAATGCCCTAATTAAAGAATTCTTTACTCTTGCAGACGAATTCGAAGTCAGTTGCACTGCTAATTAATTAAGTTTAGGAGTTACCCCCGTGTGTTCTTGTCGAAAACTCTCAAAATTAATTAAATTATCAATTTTCTCTCGATTTAAAATTCAGAACTGAGTAATTAAGTATTCGGCTAGTCTAGAGTAGGAGTCAACTCTCTCTCTCTCCCATCTCATCTTTCCATAAATTTAAAATTATATCTACTTCCCCAAATCAGACACGTTGTATGAAATGAAAGAATCCATTTGAATCCAAAAAATCCAAAAAATCCAAATTATGCAAGTTAAATCGGGAGAATAAATTTATTAAACATACTCTAGAATTATCCTCTATAGAATTATCCTCTATAGAATTATCCTACTATACAATTATCCCCTGGCTGCCCGTTCAGATCCTAGATGTCCTTAAGGTATAAATTAAACGGAAAGTAGAAAGCTAAAAGTGCAAATATAATTGCACGTAACTAAAAATTCCGATATTTTCTATATTAAATAGTCGGTAGTCATGGTGTCAAATACCATATGGTAATCTCAAAACTGTGAAATTGTTTTCTCGCTGGATGAACCAAGAATTTATGGCAGATTCTGGTAAAAACTATGCATTGGATAATTGGTGGTGTATGTGATCCTCGTTTGTCGGACCTAGTACAAGAGTTCTGACCAAGCCTGCAGGGCCTCAGTGGTTGATGCGGTTTTCCCCTGAATGTTGCATCGGACTTTTAACACCCAGCATAAATTCAGTCATGGAACCTCCAGCCCGTGGTTAATCCACCGTCCTAACTCCGGCATGAAACCCAGTACGTGGTATGTCCTACATAGATTTTTAAATTATGAGGGCAGTTTAATAAGGCTGTTGAATTTTACTGCGTAATTTTACTAATTATTCAGTGGAATCAATTGGATTTCGTGTGTAATCAATGCTTGTCATTGCAATTGAGTTACAAATATTGAAATGTATCGACTCAGCAGATTCAATATGTAGTCTTAGTACATCCTCGAGGTTCCATCGAGATTGCATCGAATCCCACAGCGATCCAGGAATTTACACGGTGGTGAGCCCAAACCCTATGCACGTTTGAATTGCAAATCGATAATTCTATACAGCAAATTGGATGTGCAGATCTGCAATCATTTGGAATTATCCCTTACCAAAGTCGCTAACAGTCGGAGTGGAAAGCTAGTTTACGTATATCCGGGATAAGTTCCGAATTCATTAAAACATTTCAAGTCATAAGTTTATTCTCTCGTCAATTTTCGACAAATTCGTTGACTCGTTTTAATAATTTGAATTTTATTGGAACATACCACGGATTTCACGCGATTTTTGGGGGGAAGAACTTCAAAATCTCAAAAAAATCGATAAAATTATGAATAAACACGGGAAATCAAAGTAATTAATTGAAGTATGATATTTTCTGAGTGCTGATGGAATTTTAAATCATAGCTTTCCCTTATAATGTCAATATAATTTAAATTGCTACAAGAGAACAGCAGAGGAGAAATCGCAATGAGAAAAAAAATTTCTTTTGCCAAATATATTTTCTTGCGGTTAGTAAATATTTTTAACAACAATTTTTTCTCAGTGCCACAACCAGAAAACTCAAGACAAATAAAAATCGATAATTTTTTGTAAAAACTTCTGCCCCGAGCTGGAGCTAATTAGCTGGTGTGAATCTACAAAATAATAATAAAAAAAAATCACCTTGACTATAATTTGTATCTCGAGAAAAAACAAGGTGAGGTGACAAGTGGGCGTTCGTAATCATGTCGTGTTTGCTCAAGTAATGTAATTCGTTGTGTCGTGGTGAATTCCGGAAGTTATTAAATGCAGAAGATTCTCAATCCGCGATAAGTATTCCACGTGTACTTCCGAGAGCAGAACGCTATTATCATTGTGAATGTCTAATTAATAATTTGAATGACAGACGTGATGACCCACTGCCACAATGGCACGCAATGATCTTATTACAAGTGGTTGAGAGTGTTAGAATGTTTCGGTCAACACAAAGATAGAAGAAAATTGGTTGTTAAGTTGTGTAGGTCACATTACGACTGCTATTTCAAACGTGTTAAGTCTATTGAGAGTCCGCTTGAGTAGTTCCGGTGATGATAAATGACTGAATGACCTCTGGAATTATTGAACTGGCGGGGGAAATGACCGAAGGTCATCCAAGGTTCTCAAAGGACTTGGCGCGGATCCAACCATGACAGTCGGTTCTTTTGACAGCTGTGATTCTTCATGAACTCACATGATCGAAATTTCGGAGGTCCTTTGCATACTAATTCAAAAATATCAATAACATCTTATCAATATTCTTAAATTATCATCGGAATAAATGATTATGATTCAGGGATTCAGGGACCGAATGTTTTATTCGATTCAGTAGATAATTTAATACGCGGACCTGTCGAGAAATGGGAGGAATATCAACTGACGTGAATAGAACTGAATCTGTCACTTGTCGATGACTTTCCCGATGTCTGCTGGTGACTTTGATTCGAGTGCATTGACAGATACGGATATGTGAACATGACCGAGAGTGTCAAGAAGCGGAACAATCTCAGTGTTAAGAAATAAAGCAATCACTCCCCAGAAAAGAACACATTAAGCGTGACTTTTAACACATTCCTCCGGAGTCGGCATGATATTTTATAGCATGCAGTAAATAGCACTTGTATTTTATGAGTGTTGATTGTCGACGTTATCTCAAAGTGTAAAAAAATTCCGCATATTTTACAGCACCAAAACAACATGATGGAAACTAGTTTGAGGAAGGTGCTGAGGAGTGGTTGATCAACGAGTTGAAAAGTTTGAGTTGTCCTTAAAATTCGAGAACATGTTGGGATTCAAATGTGACGCATTGAGGAGCAGTAAACGACCTCAGTATGTAGCAGCTATTATCGGTAAGTTTCTCGTATAATTTTCTCACTTACACTCACCCTTAAATTATACACCCTTTTCCAAAGGTTCTCGAAACCCTAAGCACAACCGTAATAAACCTTTCACACTACGCAAACACTTTTCGTTCGAAACTCCAATTGTTTATGCCACAGACCACAGAACAACTTAACGTCTCTAATATAACGTCTAGAGCAAACTCATAAATTAAATCACCGGTGTTTCACCTTCCCAGTCATCCATACCAAGAACTAAAATAAAGAATAAAAAACAATGTACTTGTTCAATTCGTTGACCCCAAAGCTATTTTGAATTGTTTACGTGTTGTTGCTGTTGTAAAATAAGAATGACTTTGGACGAGTACATCTTCTGATTCCAGTGAATCTATCAGCGTTATTCAGTGGAATGCTTGGAGCCTGGCCCTCACCAATGATTTCTCAGCTAACGAGGGAAAATCCGTCAGTGGGCACTGAACCAATGACAGAGAACGAAATTTCATGGTTATCTTCCATCTCTTATATTTCAACAATATGTATTCTTCCATTTTACACATGGTTAGCCGAGCGATTCGGGAGGAAAACGATGGGATACTTTATGGCACTATCAGCAGCAGCAGGCTGGCTATTCATACTCTTCGCACAGAATTTATACCATCTTCTGGTCTCTCGTTTGCTAACCGGACTCGTCCACGGAATTTGTTTTTCTTCAGTACCAGTTTACGTTTCCGAGATAGCAGAGGAATCGATCCGAGGACGACTGGGAAGTCTTCTCGGACTTGGTATAAATCTGGGCTTTCTCATCACATTCATATGCGGTGCCCTCTTATCTTATCACTCTTTTGCGATTTATGGGACAGTCGTGCCTTTGATCTTCTTCGTAGCGTTCATATTTATACCAGAGACCCCAATCTATCTGATGAGGAAGGGAGATGATAAGCAAGCAGTTAGGTAAGTCATATCACTGGATAATCTAGATTATGACTCATTCATTCCTAACGCAAGTCTTCGATTATAAACATGTAATGATGCATATTCGTTGCAGTAGCACCTTCTCAAATGGGTTCAATCAAACCCATGAATAACCTATTACTGCTCTATCAGTACGATGATTACACTCGCATTAAAATAATTTACAGATCTCTAATGTGGCTGAGGAATAACGACAAAGAGATCGTTGATCGTGAAATGCTGCAGCTCGAAAAGGATCTTATAAAAATGACCAACTCAAGTAAATCTACTGGTTTGATAGATTTATTCCGAGACCGTGGGACAATAAAGGGATTCATCATTTCTTTAGGACTGTTTGGTGGACAACAAACTTCGGGATGTACAATTGTGGTAAGAGTTCTGAATTATGAGTTATAATCAATGCAATTGACTTCAATTGAGCTTTGAGTAAACCCTGCAGTTTGAATTCTGATATTTTTCAGATTATGTACACAGCAATGATATTTGAACTGGCCAATAGTTCATTAGCCCCGGCATATGCAGCGATAGTTGTAGCCTCTATTCAGCTTTTCGGATCATTGCTGGCACCTTTGGTAATAGATCGTATCGGGCGAAGGGCTCTTATCCTGCTATCTTGCAGTGGGATGGCGATTTGTCACGTATTATTTTCTATTTTCTTTCTACTGAAGAACAACAGCTACGATATTTCGTCATTCTCGTTTGTCCCACTTGTTGCATTGTCGGCTTACTCTATTTTTTATTGCATGGGACTGGGTCCAGCTGCATATGTCGTTGCAACTGAAGTCTTGAAACCAGATATTGCTAGTCACGGTATTTCCATGTCGCTGGTGTTGGCGTTAATCTGCGGCTTCGTTACCACCAAATTCTTTCCATTTATATCCAGTGAATACGGCAGTCACGTATCTTTTCTCATTCTCACTTTATTCTGTACTGCTACATTTATATTCACATTTTTGCTTGTACCTGAGACTAAAGGAAGATCAATGGTGTCAATCTTCGAAGAACTGAATGGAAAGAGATGTGATGGGAATGGATCTCTTGGAGATGGAGAAGGTGATCAGAAAAATCTCTCAGTTCAAATATAATTTCTTTCTACAAAATTGTACATACCGTGTAATCATAATCTGTATTTAGTGAATATATTCTTCTTTTTTACGATTTATTAATAAAGCTAGAATTTATTACAAGAGACAAGTAGCAAATTCTATTGCAGCATCATAAAAATTAATTTCAAACATGAATTTAAATGCATTTATACATCACACATCTGCTCGTACTATTTATCTGAAATTCGGTCATCGATTTTTACAGTGTAATCACATCCCTATTTTGAATGCAGCGACAACTTCCAGCTCCAGTCAGTGAAGAGTCCACTTGAAAATTGAAATAGTTCTCATGAAAATCGCGTACTATTTGTGTGGCGCCTAGAGCTGTGCAGAGAAGGTACCAAATATAGAAATCACGGGTAAGACTCTTCCGCAGTTTCTAAGATTCTCAGATATTCCGAATAAATGTTGATATAACCAAAGTTGGTAAGTTTGCCTTCCTTCAGGCACTACCCAAAACCTAAGTCGCAGTATTATTCTATAATCTATTCGGCGGAATGACAGTGTTCACGATAGCAGTTAGGGTTGGTTGCATGCCAGCATGGTTCGCACGCCACCTCTGGCAGCCAACCATTTCTAACCCATCCAATAGACCAGACCATATCTCTCTAATTCCGTTCAGCTTTCTCCTTCGATTGCAGTGGTAATCCTCCAGTGCACCCTCCTACCGTGAAGGGTCTGGAAGCACATGTAGCGATAGGGCGTACTATTCGTTGTTACCGCTTATTTACCATGTAATTCGACTAGTATGGCATGTTGAAGTATCCGTGAATTAGTAGAGTAATGGTAGCTCACTTGTTACAAGTAGATAAAACTAACCCGGGGTAACAAAAATAAAAGTCAAGAGATAACTCTAACAAGATATCATTTTGAATTTCGTTCTAATCTCAATGTTTTTCATGTCATATCGAATGCCATTGTCTTCAGGCGATGATCACGGAGATCAGAATCCCACTATGTCACAATCGTATCGCTATATAGACCCCAAGATTTTATATCCCTGCATGCACGTGTATTTTTATCTCATAGATATAAATGTCGAAAGTTTTGTACGAGTCTCCGGCGCATGATGGGTGACTCCGATAATCCAGTACCTATACGATCAATCCGAAAAAATGGTCAATGAGTTTAAAAAATTTGAATAAGAGATGCTGTGGATAAACTATTTGTATTCCCGTCTATGTAGGGTATGGACAATATTTAGGAGTCAAGTTAGTTTTGGGTTGATTGAAAGATCGCGAGCATTCCGATCAGCTTGTCGTGCTTCATACATTCACCAATTGACCTCTGAAATCTCGAGAACCCACTGGGATTTGACCCCTGATCCTGGACCCTTCGCCGATAATCCCACAGCAACTCCAGAATTTCATGAAAACGGTTAATCGAATTGCTCCATTGATACTCATAACCTGGAAGTTAAAATACTTGAAAAATCATTCGAGCGTGTTATTTCAATTCCACTTTATATTTACCTGGAACTTATTCTCCCTCTTTCACTTCACAACAATCACCACTCAATCCTCAATCTCGTATTACAGTTTTTTTTTCCTCTACCAGTGGAAGTTTTTGAACGGTTTCAACGGATTCAATAGACCAATTCCCTTTTCATACAATTTTACCTCAATTCTTGATGAGTGAGAATAAAGGAATTATGGGCTTGTAATAAATAATATTTTATCCTCTGATGATAAAGCCATAACTTGAGGCAAGAGCCCAAGGCATCATCAAAAGTTTATGAGATTATTCGAGTACATGAGCCACGTATGGGCTTTGCGGTGTCGTATTCGTAGATATGGGGTATAGCTGAGAGAGAATCATTAAGTTCTAGGGAGGATGCTTCAGAGCATCATCTCAGGTGGTATATTTCTGTAACGAGAGAAGGAGGAACTTGGGGATTATCAGGGAGTCTTGGTATTGAATAATAATGCAGCGATTTGTGTTAGCGCTAAATGGGAATCGCTCGCGCGAATATTTTAACAAGTGCCCAAACATTGGAAAATCCTGCTGGTACGTTTCTGGTACTTTTGCTATAGTTTTTGATGACTGGAACCCCCCAATCTCTTCCCATACTGTCCTAAAAATATTGAAATCAAATTTAATATTTCACGGTTCTTTCATCCTCAAATCGAATTCCATAACGGTCTCCCGGAAATTACTAGTGAAATCTCTTTGAAATATTTATCTTCTCTAAATAAGTTGATCAAAGCAGAAGAGATTTACCGCAGGTATCGAGGCATTGAAATTGATTCTAGACTGTTATCATCAATATTCTCTATGGAGTTCCTAATTACTCGATCATTATTATGGAGATCTCTAGAAAAGTGAATACCATTATTTTATTTATTAATAAATTGCCAATAGTTAAAACAGCGAACGAGCATGAGTGACCAAAAAAATTATTGTGCATACCAATGATTTAGATGCATGCCGAATTAAGAATGAGTAACCAATCAACATAAATTATTCTAAATTGAAACACAACGAATTACGATTCAGCATTGGAATTGCCTCAACATTATTTCCGAGCACTCACCGGAGTTTAGTTATTACACCGTTAATAGGCACCTCTAATTTTTGATGTTCCCATTATCATATATTATCACAAAGTGTTGGACTACTATTACTACTATGTCTCATAAATATATTCATCACGTGAATGAAACTAGGAGGATCAATATTAATGAGGAATGCTAGAGTAGCTTATTATGACGCGATACACAGGTTCTCTCTCCCATGGCACACGATAATTGGAGATGTTTCGCTCATCCACACGCAATGTTTATACAGCTGATACTTGCGTGATTCAATTATTCTATAAATAATTAGAAAGGTGTATCAATTGTTTCGTCCATCGAATCTGTAATGATTCAGAGATAATGGCCATCAGTTCTCTATGAATTCGGCGATAATCAATAATTAAATAATGAGATTTCCAATATTCCCGTATTCGTTGCTGCCTGGTATGATAAATATTTGAATGAAACTTTAATAGGCAAATACAATGACGTAAACTGCTTTTCGAACATGATAAATTATGACTGGTATTAAGAGCTGCCATTACCCACTGCGCTATTCAAATCCTCGGCGAATTATTAACAAATATTCAAATGCTACCGACCACAATATACTGGTTATTTTGATGCTACTGGATTTTCGGGAATTTCAACGGCTTCAATTATTGATTTCCCGAATGGATATTATGACTGTAAACCCATGGGTTTATTATGCATCAACATGTTCATCAAATCGTTATCGGTATTGACATCTCATCAGAACTGAAATTATTGGAATAGTTTAATCAGAGAGCAATTCCTAAATTGGGTAATTGATTCTGACGTAGATGGTTTGGTATCACACAAGATTAAGGTACCTCCACAGTATTCAAATGCGACTAGACGGAGAGGAAAATGAATTTTCATAGTGTGATTTTGATAAAAATGAAATTGTGCTATTGCTTTGAAGTTTTCAAGACGACAATGATATAAATAATTAATAAGTGAATAATCCTTTCCAATCTATAGTGAATGAAAAATAAGTAAAGAACAGAATTGCTATACTTTTGATGTATCTATTGTATTTAATTTTTGGAAACACCTCAATCTGTTCATTTTATTTCAGGTAGAATGAGAATGGCAAACACTTCGCGTATCTCCCTGACTGGATGAGTCAAATCACTCGTTGACCTTTCATGCAACATGATAACAGTTGTTGGCTCATCCCTTGATGCTCTGGTTGGGGCTTCTATTTCACGAATTGTTCGGAGTAACTGCTCGTGCGCAACACTCCGGAAGGATTGCCAAACGATTGAACACCCGAAACGAGAACCCGATGATTGAACATAGAGACGAAATCGACATTACACACTGGGTAGAAAGGGGAATGCATTTCGATGGCTACCTCTGCATTTCATGGATGCCCGATCGATCAGCTTTTTTTCTCTTTTTTTTTTGGGATTCTTTTACGTTCGGAATGAGGTACCACGATAGTTCTACTTTTATTTCCAGGGCAAACTGTGCGTTTTCCCGTTCGCATTGAGATTTTATTAATTCACAGGAAAACATTCAACAGTTCTCGTTTTTCAATTACTCCAAACCCTAAATGTGATGGGCGAAAAACTTTGACATCTCGTTGCGGAATCTGGAATCGGTAACAATTAGCAGATACTATATTCACATGATTGACTGAATAATTGGTACTGCTGACGACATTAATCAGATTCACTGATCAATTACCCGTTTCCATCTAAAATTAATCAGTTGAATGACTATCGGAATTTAATTAACTTGCCGGAATAATTTGTCAACCCGCAGAGTGAATTACACGATGGGAAATTCATGACTTTTAGAATGAATTCCAAACATCGGAATCGTAGATTGCCGAAGCAGCTTGTACCAAGGAAAGCTCTGACGTTTAATAACGTTCCATCGCTTTCATTCTGTCATCAGGTGGAGATGCCCGTATATTACCCAACCAGCGGTTATTGTCTGCATGAATTACCCCACTGAATTTTACGGGATATTCGTTGAAAAGCTGTGGATTCCAGCAGTTGCACCTCTTACAAGTAACATGTAAATGAAAATTTTCGTATATCCGTCGGGGTGAGTGGAATCCAGTGGTGGATCAACCTGGATGAGATCCAATTAAAATCTCCTAGTGACATCGTTAGTGGTGCATGTATCGTTTAATATACTCACGTGTAAACTGGATTTCCATCGCCTCCATCCTTGAACCACAGGACCATGTGAAGTGCATCGTATCCTGATGGTGTTATGTCACAGGGTAGTTCCACAGTACCACCTTCAACTGCACTTATATTCAACATAGGCACTGAAACATACAATGAAAATTTATTATATTTTTTATTCATGATTTTTTCCATTTCAGTTTCACTTTATTACAAATAGATTAAAATAGATTTTTTTTTTATTCTCCGAAGACTTGAGGTTTGGACCCCGGCATCACCAGCGACGAGACTATGTTGGTGGGGGTACTGATTCCCCCCACCACTAGTCCAGTCGCGAGCAAGGATGCAACAGATTTGTTAAGACTGGCAAAAAAGGCTGGAATAAAGGCTACAATAACTCTAACTTGAGTTCGGTGGTATTGGGGAGGCCAGTCCGACCCTCTGCGTTTATTAATCTAATCTAATCTAATGTTTCCTCGACTTTTTACCAATAGCGTGTCGAGAAATTTATTTTAATATTCATTTCGATTTTTACAAAAGACCTTGGTAAAAATTTCCAAATTACCACTGGTTATTGTTATTGAGAAATAAATATTTAAAATGTAATTTCGCTGGTTTTTTTGTTTTCATATCAAGAAATTTATTAAAACTTATTTATATTTCATTTTTTACGGAAAAATCGGAGTAAAATTTTCAAATTACCACTAATTATTGTTATTGTCGTATAAATGTTGCGAAATTTTCGGAATTTAATTCAGTGAAAGCCTTTATTGAAACAATATTTCCGAACTTTTGTGCAGTGCGAGTTGACAAAGACTCTATGAGTATTCAGAAACTTTTTATCAATAAGAGTAAGTCGAATTCTCCTCTAAATTCCAATGGCCAAACCCCACCGCAATCGGTCCAGAATTTGATATTGCCTCTACCCGAATCTTATCCCCAGCAAAGATAAAATAAAATCTCTTGCATTTATGCAAGAAACTCTGAACTCTCGATCAAATCCGAAGAGAAATTCGACGTTAAATTGAAAAGATCCGTTACCTTTATTCTATCCCAGTAATATTTCTCCACATCATTATAGTGCCATCATTCCAGGAACATGAAGGCGAATTGTGATGCCAATTTAATCTCAACGAGGAGAAATATAATCGTTAACGTTTAAAGTGCGATACCTCCCACTCGAAGGGATTATAAATTTTATTTTTATAGTAACAGCAGAGCCGAGTGGAAGTGGAGAGAGTAAAAAAAAAACATAAAGAACAAAAGAGGGGAAAATACAGGAGACTCAGTGTTAGGGCGAGAAATTAGCATAGACCTCTTATTTATGGCGCCCAAACCCCACCCACCACGACGCATAAATATTATTTAAAGGTGACTCTTTATCATATAAACGCCCGACCTACCGGGGTACATTAGAATACCAGGATGGAATTTTTACCTTCTCTCATTTTTCTAATTTGTATACACTCTTTTGTTGATTCTTCATGTTTCTTCGCGGTTTTCTGGTTTCGCATCCTTGTCGTTATCGGAAACTATCATTATCTCTTATGTTTTATCATCAATCTTAATAAGTATGCACGGGCGGAAATATTCAATAAAAATATTGTAAAAGTTTTACTGAATGCTGTTTTGACACGTAGAGTACGGAACAGGCGCGTAAATATTATTAAATATTTCTCTCTGTCTGCATTCTAAAGAATCGTCATAATCATTAAAGATAAAGCGAGAAGTACATAAAAAATATAATAGCCACTAGGACGTGCATTAATTAGTTAGAAGGATCTGACCAATCGGATTTATTCATGTGTCTGTAGTCTCTTTATTGGACACATGTACGGATTATTCTTTCGAAAAAATGTTGTGTGGAAAAATATCATAACAACAAATTACAAATAATTTTTGTAGAAATCATGAAGATCCTTCGACTGCATCGCAAATCGCCGTTATCATATTACCCGTTTGAGAAAAATGATTCATAAAAAGCAGAAAAAAAAATGGCAATTGAATTTTTTTGTTTTGCTTCTAAGAAATCGTAAAATGGCAGACTAATTAATTCCAAAATTCTATCAGTTCTATAAGTTACACAAAGACCCGCCGATCGCGTCATCAATGACCTCGATCACATAATTAATTTTGGAGATATCATAAACCAATATTTTCAGTCTCACATACATCATTTTGAAAATTATTGAGAAATTTCGGGAAGACATTGAACTGTCAAGATATGAAATTCGATTTCAAATTTTCGGGATGATTACAATACAACAGTACGTCAAATTCTAAACATAAATTAACTTCAGAGTCATTCATTCATTCATAAGAATGTTTACTCTTCAATTTTCCTCGAAAAAATGAAAACACTAGCTGAATAATTGTAATATCCCGGACTCTTTAATCTAGAGCTCCAAGAAGTACTCGAAAAAGAGATTAAAATTTCAAATGCAACTCGATAATTCCTTAAAAATCAATCGATGACAGCAGATAAAATTGAAATAACCTATATGATACTTATGGGGCCGTCGAATTAAAGAATGATTATAAGAATGTCTGAGGAACTTCTGATACCCCAGACAATTGCCCACAAAATCTCCTCTCGCGATTTCGCCTCGAAATCATTTAGTTGGTAGCTAATGATGACATTAACAAATTGATTAATTATCCTTTTGTTCTTTTCGTAGGCCTCACCTCAAACGTCTAATGGCCAACAGAACGCAACGAGCGATATCGCACATGATTTCGGAACCTCGAGGCTTGTTATATTTCACATCGAGTTGTGGGATCGATTAATTGGATTCGCAACGGACACCGTACCACACATTCTCTGTCTCCTGGAAAACCCGTCCATCCGGATATATCCGATGGAGGTATCAAGCGAATTCTAGGGTACAAAGCTCGAGTGCTACTGCGATCACATCTGGGGCTTTCGACGCTAGTCCATCCTCATCGTTTACTGAACATAATTGAGAAGGACAGACGCAAAATGGAATGGAGAAGAACCGAGGACAAACGAGATAGAGGTCTCATTGCTGGAGTAGGCCATATGTCAGGAGGAATTGTGCTTCGTGAGTCATGAAAGTGTACATTCTGCTACTAGTCGGTAAAGTGATACCTTTCCGAATGCGCATGGAAGATATGGAAAATGGGATAGTTAAATTAATTAAAACACAGTTAATGAACTGTAATCACTATTTCTTTATTAAATCGCAAGAGGAAGAATACCGTCTGGACTCTATCAATATCTCCAAGAGACTAAAGACTAGCCACAAAGACTATAAGAACATTCGTCACCAAAGAAAGAACCCTACAATGATTTCTTGTGAAACCATTGTTTATGTTTATGCAAACTCTGAGGCGACTCCGTGGAGACCTCCATATCGATTCATTTTTGTAATCATCATAAATCAGATCAATATATTTCTATGAATTTTAACTTGATATTCTAACAGAAAACGTTACATATTTTTCATTCCTTCAAACGTGCGACATTCGATACATTATCGGCAATAACTATTCATCAACTAGATGAAATTGAATAATTCGAAGGTCAATGTCAAGAGTTTGTTCAGACGGATAAATCGGCCTGTAATTTATCTGTATAAATTACAGCGAGTGCTACTATAATCAGCAATAAACCTGAATTTTAACGCGCGACATGATGAGAAATGGAAAAAAGAAGATATCAAATAATTAAACCAAAGTTTAAATTGAGGTCGACCAGAAAATCACATCTTCAAGTTCAAAATGCGGTGTCTGCATGAAAAATTATGAGATTCGCATAAAAGACGCTTTTCAAAAATCTTATTCAAGGATTTTTCAAATGAGTACAGAATATCTCCCTTCAATATGAAAGCCAGAGAGGAATTAACCTAAAATCCGAATAAAAAGGAAACGGACACGGATCGTTTACTTCTGTTTGAAAAGGAATGGATTAATAAAGAGTTGCCACACAAGAAATATCCAGCAGAAATTCAAGTTAAATATATCTAGAAATTTTTTAGTTAATTGTAATTTTTCACGGATTGAGGCTAGATTTTCTCTAAAAAGGACTTCCCATTACGCTCAACGCCTCATAAAAATACAATACATTAAAAAATTCCATTTATATCCCTGCAGGTGCAAAAAGTATATGAAGAAATATTCAATTCCAGGAGATAGATAGAGTGCATTGAAACGAAAATTTTAAGCCTCCGTTCAACTCAATTCAACGGGTGATTCTCATGATATCCGAAAAAATAGTTTTTTCATTAAAATGCAAATGTGTGGGGAACTCGTGAATCGATTTGCCCAGTCACAATAGAGATCATTGCCTATATATTCTTTTCTGTTTACGGGATTTGATAATTTTTCAACGAATCGTTTCACCAATCCGAATGAGAAATCTATTTTTCAATCACTTGACCATCATCTCTCCAATAATCACCTAGATGATTCGTGTTTAAGCACAATATTTGCGGAGTGGTAATTGGATAAACCAAATGAGATTCTGATGAAGTGATAGCAAGGTAAAGTGGGTGGTTACTTGTTAGGGAAAAGCTGTCAATGGGCTGCTATTGTGAATAGACACACATGAGCGTTAATAATGCACTTTCATTGTCCTCTGTATTAAGGATCAGGTGATACAAAAGGGAAACCGACACATCATTATCTAATGATAACGAGAAGTTAATTAACCGGGAGATTTTCTGGATCATCATAGAATTGAGAAGGAATTGTCATTTTTTTTCTTCATGACCTCCACGTCTTCGTGATTCAATAATGTATTTAAATCCATTTTCCGTATGACGGTTAGGAGACGGTGAATTTATTCAGATTCATTATAATAATGGAGCTCATTAATCAATTTGACTGATGAATACTTGATTTTCTTCTGTTATCACCATTTTCTTGTATTTTATCTCATTGCTCATTTCGAAATGCCTCTTTTTGTTTTAAAAAATGAGGTCACTGTTTATTGTTTATATCGAAGAAACTCTTAAAAAGTGCACCCGGCCGTAATAAAAATGTCACATGACATAAAAACTTTTTATTTCATACTTTCTTCAGACATACGTTGAGAACTCCTTATCCGCCCACACATTTTCCAATAAAATCGGCCGTCGGGTGGTCTCCGCTTGATTTTTAATTTGAACTCGATAATAAAATTTTAATTGATTAAAACATTAATTGTTTACACGCACAAATTTCCTAATTGATAAACTATTAAAAGATATCTTGTGGTAATTCACATGAAGAGAGGAATCCACACTGAGAAAAAAGTTTTCTTTAGCCAAGACTATTTACTAACCACAAGAAAATATATTTGGCATCAATAAGTCTTATGGGAGTATTTATACAGTGATCACCAGATTTACTGGTGGGAAGAAAATATTATTGGCAAAAATTAATTTCTTTTCTCTGTGCACAAACTCATTTTATTCATTATAACAAGGTTTAATATTTTATGTTAAGGTTAATGTTTATGTTAAGGTTTAATATTTTCTGCTGAACTCTGTCATCGCCCAAAAATGCAAAATTCTCTGAAAGATCGACCCCAACACTCCACTCTTCCGTTTCCAGAAACTAAGAACACTACTTTCTAGCTTGCTGCATCTCCTCATCATCATTCTAACAAGTGTTCCCACGACTAAGCCACACTTTTCCTCCAATTTTCATTTCTCCCAGAGTTTATCCACGAAAAACTTCTCTAAAGTATTTTAACCAGTTAAGACCAGAGTTCACCTGCACTCCACCCTCTTTCGAATATATTCTCATTCCTCCAACCTCCGCTCATACTCACAATTGCCCATCTTACATGGTGAAACCACGAGAGGGGAGAATGTCCCAGGCAACAAGTTGGATTTAGATTCAATCTCCGTCGTGAGAGTCAAAGTTTATAACGAAAGTTATTACACTGCATGGAGGTGGAGAAGTTGTATCCACTGTCGTTGCATAGGTGAAGGAGAAGAGAGTAGATGAGAAAGAGATACGAGATGTGGAAATCCCAGTAGGAATTTTGGTTAACGTCTCAATGCTTCGAGAACACGAACTTTCTCCGACCCTCTATCAGCTAGCGGACAAAGTACTCATTTTATTTCCACAACTTACCAAAACAATGGAAAATGTTAATCCTACAAACTACGTAAAGAGCTATAAAAATTAAGTTTTGCAAGTATCGAACAATATTTTTCATTACAACACCCGGGGATCGATCAGGATTAGCGCACACAGCGCGTGCGTAAAACACCACTTTACACACGGTCGGTCAAAAATGACTTTTTACGCAAAGTTCCATTTCTCACACATTGTGACGAAATCGTACATTTCAGGACGATTGCGGACAAGTATTTTTTGATTTTTGGAACAGGTTTTGGTAAAGTTTAAAATTGTAAATAGTATTAACAAGTGTTTCACTTAATTTATACAACTCACACTCCCGCGCTTTTAATTTGATATTTCTTGGTTTTTAGATTATTCAATATTCCCTCGAGGGGAAATAGGAAGTGGTTTTTCTATCACCTTTCGTTGTCGTCAGTTTAGTTGACAGGTTTCCCTTTTTAAGTTTTTTAGACGTGCATTCCTGGAGCTCTAGTAGGAAGTGAGAAAAGGGATTAGAGCAGCCAACGAAAATCAGATGAAAAGGGTTTTCATTGGGGTATATAGCTTATACATGTCCTCCACCTCGTACTCATGTGCTTCCTTCCTCACGATGTACGTATTCTCGAGACTTTACTGCCTCGAGATGAGGGGGAAGAAAGCGAGTGAGCTGAAGCTAGGTAAAGCCACATCGCGTAAAGTTAATTGGAACGTTTACGAGAGCTCTGGGCTGTTTCAAATTTTGGTCATACACTGTAGCTCCTTTTTGTCTCCCTTCAGTAGTTTTGTTCGATGTATGAGTTTTCTTGTGGAGTTTTAGAGGCATGGATTAGCGAGACATAGCTGAGGTGGCGTCAGTCGAGAGTAACTAATTGTACTTTTCTGGTAGGTACCTTCGGTTAATTAAAAAATAAATCATAAGAGTAAGAGATGAGCATGCGAGGGGACCTCTACTGTGGCGATAAGTTAATTGAAGTTTAAGTTTAAATGAAAAATGTAAGCCTTCAAGGAAACAAGTGATGTAATTTGGAGCAAGTGAATGTTAAGATTATTATCGGATCAGGAAGATGAGGTTTAATTATTTGAGGGCATATTTCGGGATAGGTTTGAGGAGTTGAACTCTAGTGTTGCATGTTGGATCACAAGTGGAGTGAGAATTTTCCAGCTGAGGTTGCTAATAGAGTCACCGACTGTACCGGCATGACGTTTTCTGTGGTTCCCCTTCTTAGTTCTAGATTCTACAGGAATGCGACTGCGGTGCAGTATAGAATCCGCAGCTGCACACATTGGTTTAGATAACGTGTGAAATGAGACTCCGAATAAAGAGAGTCTTAAACCGTAAGAAATAATTAGGGTGGAAGCCATAATCGAATTGTAATTCCAGAATTCCGGTGACATGGATAAAATATTCTACGTCATCATATTTGAGACAAACATCATTAGCTTCGTTTCATTTAGGAAATTTTCAGAGAATTTTTATCTCGAACCTGCAATGATGAAATATATTCAAAATAACACGTTCTTCGATAGTCGTAATTGAATATTCGGTGTAAACATCATGATACGATAAGGAAAAACAAATACGCCATCACCACACCAAGACAAATATCATCCTGTTCTTATCGAAACAGTGAGTCACATTTATATAGTCCGTATAAATATACCTCCCTGAATAATGATCTCATAACCACGAGTTATTATTCTATCTTAATGCACCTAATCCCTTATAAAATAATCCGTGACCGTGACGCCGGTGCTTTTCCTCGTTTCCAAGTTAATTTCATCATTCTTCTTAGATAGGCTTCATATAATGTATATGCATTCGAAAGCGTATTAAATAAGCTTGAAAATGGGATATGATAGATTAAATTCTGATGATTTTTCACTAAGTTATGGCACTTTTACTCAAAAATCCGAATTTTCTGTTTTCGTAAAAAAAAATCACGACGAAAAACGCCGGGGATTGATGGGCGCGACATAAATCGGTGACAGGTTTCGTTTCCCGATTTCTTTCTTAGGGGATTATTGTAATGTATTTAATTATTATGCGCAGTGATACTGACGGTGAGAATGGCTGTTGTATCTCATGGAACACCTGATTCAGAGGTCGAAGACACTGGCAAATCTCCGAGGTGGTACAACTCTCCAGAGCTATGGGCTTCCCCTTCATTTACCGTCCCTCGATGTAGTGTTAGTACCCAACGTTCGTAATATAATGTTACGTTACGTATAATACCGGGTGTATTGTGCGCACGGCTACCTCGCGACACTGAATTACGAGCTAACCGTGGGGGTCTACGACATGACGGCCACTTCCGGTTGTAATATAGTTTGTAGCAACACAATAGCGAAACCACCGCAATAGGTTAAGACACGATGATACGCAAACCCCCGGTATAACTAGTTTTTTAATCATCATTCTTATCTCTCGTGATAAATTCCGTGAAATTGCATAGTTCAGATGGAATGCCGACATTTGTATGATTAAACGAATTTACCTGTAAGTGAAGTTCTATCATAATTGTATGGAGCGCACATAGAGGTTATGTGTAGTCCTGATTTGCAAAGCCCTTGGCATTACGGGCCTTGAACATGGAGATTGGCAACAACTTGATATTGCTGTTGGTAAAGGAAAAGTTTCTTTTAATCTTTTACCGATTTTCTGATTTTCCAACCGATTTTCTTAAGCCTGTCGTTCTATGGCCTTCCTTAATGTTTCCAAAGCCTTCCTGATGTACTTTTATCCATCTTCATCTAAATGTAATTGCTTCTTTCTTTTGTTAAACATTATCTTCGATTTGCAAAATTTTTCGCAAAGACTGAGGGCATGTAAATGAAGATGGATGATATCGAAAATCTTTTAGACTTTCAAGTTGTGACGCCACCGGTATAGGGTACACGGTACTACGATTCGATCTCGCGGAAAAAGCGCGAAATACAATTTCATGTCTTTATCGATCGAGATTAATTCCAATCCTAATTAGAACTGCTATATACATTCATGAAGAACACAAATCTCTTCATCCGCTTCTCCAACATATACTGACCAAAAAAATCCCAAATTTACATATCGCATCAACATAGTTTACGACAGTGGTGATTATAATTTACGAGGGCAAAGTCGTAAATTTACTTTTCAAATTTCCTTATGGAACAAAATATGGGACCATGAAATACTAATTACTGTGCCGAGTGAAAATAAAAGTCCTTTTTCTTCCAATTTTTATAAAAGTAAATCCTGTTCCCATGGTTTCGCGATGACTCATCGAGCCGAATAATTTCATAATAAAGAAAATATCACTTGCTTGGCTTATGAAATGGCACTTCAATTTTCATCGTAAAAATCGCAATTCTAATGCCAATTGAAGAGCACATAGATTTCCAATTAAAGAGATATATTTGTTTATATATTGCTGATGGAAATCATTTTTTAAATAAATAAAACATTTTAAAAACTTTTCAAAATTTTCTTTGAATTACAAAAAAAATATGCCTATTTTCATTTCACAATAAAAGTAAATAACTAATTAAAATTAATTAAAATGTAATTTTTTAAACATTTAATTGAATTTCTTTCAATTAAATTTTCTTATAATTGAAGTCAATACATTAGACATGTACTTCCCTTACTTCCGTACCACATTGATGATTATTGGCGTGCAAAGTACTCCGTAAATTTTGGATGAACAAAAAATGGAGGAGTCGGGGGAAAAATTGTCAATTAACGACGATATATACATAAAAAATATTTTTATGTCCACCCCATGCAGCATTGCATTACGAGATGTAATTATGACTGGGTGCATCTGCACCGTTCGCACATACTTGGAGGTACCCCCCACCCCTTCACCCCACACAAGTAGTACAAGTCAACGGTGTGAAATATCGGTTACCATAAACGCGTCCATATTAAGCCAAGATAACACAAGTTATCGTTGAACCATTTGAATGTATGCACACATACACACTCATAAACCCTTCAGGCGCTTGAAATCCACTTATGCGCATCCCTTCGTCTTATTCTCCACCGTTTGCTTCCGGTCTGGTGTTTGTGTCTCGTCTCGACGCGTACACCTCCTATTCCACTGTAATTTCACGGTAATATTGTATAGGAGGAGACGAGCAGACTGTGTAATCGAGCGAAAGTACAGCCAAGTGAATCTGATGAGGATATATTTATCCGTGGGGTTGTAAGGAGTCAATATCAGAGTCAATATGATCGGGTGGGGCGGGGGGAGGGGTGGGATAATGTAATGTTTCAGGAAATGGATTTATTGGCGCAGAGTGAATCGTTTTGGAAACATGTCAAGTCAATCATGAAATTTGTTTGTTTGATAATAAGAAAGTAAATAGAAATGAAAATTGGAACTTGAAATAGAAAATTTTTATGAATTTTTAGTTTTCATTGAAAAGATTACTTGATGTTTTATATTTTTGAAGCTTTACCTCCCAGCGAAATTCAGGCGAATAAATATTGATTAATTATTTCCCCGAGTTCTAATGCACGTATTGAGATTTGGAAAATATAAAAAGGCAATGAAATTGCCGCCGGAGTGAATTCTTAGATTTTTTTTTCAATGCATTTTTCGTATTTTTTTCTCATTAACAAAAGTTAAATTACAATCGCGTTCTTTAGACGCTTAATTCCGTTGCTTTCGGGTCACTTGTCGTTAGCAGCTGCACCGGAGACCAGATTGACGTACCACAGAGTTTACCCCTTCCCCAATGAGTAGATTGACAAGTCAATTTTAATTAAAAAAAAAACAGGAATTCGTCTCAATACGGTATTGACGAAATGTACCAGCAAAAATGAAGTAGCAATGTTTCTGCAATTTTGACGATTTATATTTCTGGAAAAATAGGTGTCCAATTACTAATCATTCAAGATATCTCAGAATTATTCGTCAGAATCTTTAATCGTGAAATAGGGCCATTGTAATTTCTCGGAGGCACGAAATTTAGCAGCTGGCAGAAAACCCATCGTAATCGGCGAGATCGGTTGAGCCAAGAATGATTGCCTCTAATTTTACCATCGGTGGTAATCTCCCACCCTTTTCTTCACCAGCAAGAAACTCCCTAATGCTCTCAACATGCTCAAGGGAACTGCCGCATTGCACGGAGAGAGAAAGAGCCAATTGAGGCCATTGTCGTTGTTTTTCTTACACCAAGATGAGTCTGTACTGTGTCATCAGGATAAATGGTACCCTCATACATCAAATTCTTTAGATTCTTGTATAATTTCCATTTTTGTAGAATGGGGTAAAATAGAAGCTCCGGAAAAACTCGCCTCATTAATAAAATTTCTACTCAAACTAATATCGTATAAATATAATTTTCCTTCAGAGTTAGTTCTTCAATGCAGAAACAAAAATTAATAAGACAGAAGTATAAATGAGAATTATTTACATGAAAATATTGTTTACAGAGAATAATATGATATGTGAAACAAATATTTAATCTTAGAAATGAACTAAAGAAATTGAGATAGGAGAAAGAGAAAGAACTTAGAAGAGAAGGAAGTCTAATTACATAAACTTTCAGAATCATCCATTTTATTTATAATTTTTATTTATAATTTTATTCATAATTTTGATTTATAATTTTATTATAATTTTAAATAATTTTTATTTATAATTTTAATCATATAAATCTTTTAGATTTATTAAAAGTAGTTGAACTGTAGGATTTTTATAATTTTTTTTTCTTCATGCCCCACCCTCCGTTTTGCCCTGCCCTCCCGTAAGGTGGATAATGAAACTCTATGAAAAAATGTAAAGATAATTTAGTAATCAGTGTACATAAGTCCTCCAATAATTCAGATGTCCCGTTTCGCTGTGGAAGTGAAAGAAAGACGAAAAATTCCATTTGTTCAATAATCAAGAAACAGAATTTTGAAGGCACAACAGCAGATTACGGAAAATTTTCTATGAGAAAATTCGACAGACGCAGAAAATCCTCTCCGAAATAATTAATTGCAATTACCTATACCTGGAAATAAAATGAACAATTATCTTTAACAGTTTATTACTTCGCCACTAAATTCATATCTGCACGCGATATTTAATAAAGATGTAAATTACAGACTACAAGAAAATTTTGTTTCCATAATAAACATCTGGACTGAGTGAACTTTCTAATCAGCTGAAATATAGAATATATTAGAATTCATAAAGAGAAATAATGGGAATAAAAAAATATTGAGTGTCCCTTTGTTAGAGTAGATTCTAAATTCAGTTCTCCCAACCCATTCCTCATTTTCTTTCGTAATTTTAGATCTCCTCATCGCCTTTATAAAACCGCATTTATAAGTTTCTTCATTTTCTCATTGTCAATGAAATTATCAGCATTGTCGAATTATCATCAACTACTGTATAAAATCGATTGACAGTTGCGTAACTTATGACATGTCGACAACTACAATTTTCGCATCATTAAATTTTATGAAAATCATAAAAATCATTACGAAAGAATTCCACACGAAAAGTAGATGTACTGATATAATAAAATGGGATGCAATGTGAAGGGATTCTTTGCGGACTGCTCTCTCAAGTTGATTATCTTAAGAATTTCTCCAAAAGATGGGAAAAAGTGAATGTGAAATTCCCTAGAATTTGTAGGGTTTTCTCCAAGGGTTTGTTAAGCTTATCAAAACCTTTACGACACATTCTACAATATTCCACATAAAACAACAAAGTGCACCTTCGGTCATATCCCTGAAACTATTTTCCGCACTGAACCGCGACCAAGTTTCCTCTCGAGTCTTGCAATCTGGTATCAAATCGAGTTTTGGTGGACGTGGCCAAGTGAAAAATTACTCCAGAAACTTTCTCCACTCCCCTCTTCCCTCTTTTCCCAGCCTATTAGACAGTTCAACAAGTATGATTTTCACCTGAAGACATTCGAGCTGAAATGGCCCTTCGCTCATTTACTTAAAGGGAATCATTGGTCCCATTTTAATATTTTTACAAAATGCGAATCAATTAAAATCATTAATTACTACGATTCATTCGCCTGCCCGTGGAAATAAATCTTTGTAGAAAATTCTTGTAATCTATAAATGGGGGAATGCAATTAACTTTCCAGGATAGGGAAGAAATAAATATAAAAATTATGATATTCATTACATGTCTGCAGTAATTTCACTCTAAATATTTTTCGGAGTGTAGATGATTGCCTCGTTTCTGTTACACAGTGGAATGACAGTTCTCCAATTAATGTCTCAAGTTTTCAACTCGGATGAAATTCATTTAGACCTCAGAATTTGGTGGGGAGACAGATACAGATGCAGAGTGCGGGCGATCTGGTAAAAGGAAACTCAAGCAGAAAAAGAGAGGAAAGGAGTGGGTGGAATTGAAAAAAAATGTAGGGAAATGAATGAAAGTACTGGGAGGAAGCTCTCGGCTTGACCTGCAGCAGCTAGGGGCAAGACTTTTGATCTTTTCAGGATTCAAAAGCTCTCCCAGGCTTTTGAGAAAGCCATGCCAGGTAGAGATGTGACGTGTAGTTCATCCTCACATTTCTTTACATATCTTCTCCTCATGTGTGTTGCAATTCATTGTTTCTATTTTGAAAACGAGATCCTTGTAATCCATTCATCGAGCCTTCAGGACGCTTTTTAAGAGTCAAATAACCGGGAATATTATGGATAAGTAAAATAATTGATAAGCTTATTAAAGGCTAGAGAAATTGCTTGGGGATTGTACAATTATCTCAGAAACTGTGGGAATTCAGTGAAAAATGTTGAGACCGCTCTTTTGTAATTTACGCTTTCCCGTTGGGTCTCTCTGGGTCTCTTTGGGTCTCTATATATATTTTTCTCAATAAAATTTTTTAAACTTAGAGTTTATGTACGCAAACCCGTGCAGAAAAGGAAACTTTTTAATTCTCTTCTATATGTATTTCAGAATATATCTGGCGATCAGAGAGTCTGAAGAAAGAGAAAAATCCCTGAGAAAGACCAGTTGTGGGTGGAAGGGGAAATTATATTGCCCTCTGGAGAGGAGTTCAACGTGGGCCTTACTAGTAATGTTTAGTTAGTCCGTTGTAAGTCTTCGTTCAGTAAAGTACCTCTTAACTATCTAGAGTCTTATAATTTCCAATAATAAAGAATTAATAATAATTAATCATTAATAAGGAATAATAAAGACTGAGAAAGTCTCAAAATTCTCCAAGTGTTTATTTCGATCTCCAATATGATCTAATCGAAAAGTGGATTTTTTTTTTATTTCTGTTTGTCTCATTAAATCGATGCGGCATATGCAGCTATCTTGACACAAATCATAACTCCCCATGAGATCAAAGTCGATGTGCGATGTCAGTATTATTACAACTTGGTTCACCATCTCGGACCCCTGTGGGCACCCATGTATTACAGTCTTGAGTATAAAAAAAAGAAAAAGGGAGAGAATTAGAGAGCCCACAAGGGATAGAAGAAATCTGAAGAGCTTCACTGGGGCGTTTCAGCTGGCGATCCCAGATCCGTTTGCGATATATCCCCTGAGGTGGCAACTCGTCTTCTGGAACGTGCCTTCCGGCGAACCTCTCAAATTCGATACTGAAAACGAAAATTCTTCTTCGCCTCAGAGCATTTGGTGTCCTGATTGTTAGAAAACTATTTCTTTCAAATTCATTCATTTGGCCGAAGGCCGTCAGACGATCGTTCAAATTCTTCCAGAAAAAGATTTTTCTCCGAAAATATTTTGATCATGGAAAATTTTCCTCCAATAAAATTACAGACGAATCAATAGGACTTCCCCAAGGGAAATTCCTGGGTATGATTTTTCCTGGAATTTATTATGGCTTGAACATAAGTTCAAGCAAGCAGCAATAAATAAAACAATAATTACTAATAGCCATCTGGACAATCGTAATGCAGGGGAAGCGACTAATTATTTTATGAAGAATTTTGTACATTTCTAAATTACAAAAATTATAAAAATAAATTTAGGAAGTTAAAAAAATAATAATAATTAAATAAAATTATAATTATAATAATATAATTATATTATTATTAAAATCATTATTATATTTATTATATTTCCGTATTTATTCATGGAGATCGAATAATTTTCTGTTTGAAATGATTATTCTCTAGGGGAATATTCCTCTGAGGAAATTTGTCCGGGAGAATATCGACATGTACTGATCGATTATCTCGAAGATCTCGAAACCATGAAGCGACGATTCCTTATTGGTCCGTCGAAAGTGGCGCGAGATTACAAAGTCGTAAATTTTTTACAGAAATTGTTTCAGACCGCGCACTGGCGGGCGGTACGGTCTCTCGTTTAGTAAAAATGCTTTGGGTTTATAAAAATTGTGAGTCTACAAGGAATATCACCAGACCATGGACAAGGGCATTACAAATCTTAGAGATCGACCTTCGATTTGAAATGTCCAAACGACGTCGTTATCTCACGATTTCACGGTGCTACACTTGAGAATCACATGCACTTTGTTCCATTCCTGAGAATCCATCGATGTAATGGTCAGTATGGGTTGTCTCAAGTCTCCAGGATGCTATTCCAACCTCTCAATGCCCTACACCATTTGTTCTTTGCATTACTCCCAGGAGGCTCAGAAAGACATCCTTTCCTACGTACACTTGACCATTTTCCAACATCTTATCTCCAACTTGTCGTTTTGGTTTTCTATCGCCGGTTTGTACACCGAGTTTCAATGGATCTAGTTGTCAACTGCAGAAGTTGAAGGGCTTCTATTTCAAGAACGTTTGATATTGATAGAGAGAGTGACGAGGCAAAACAATTCTCACGTACGCGATTATCAAAGTTTTACTGTTTACTTTTAAAATGCCCGTTTTACAATTGGTTAATGGGTGTCAATGTTACCGATCGTTATCTAGAGATTATTAGTGATAAATGATTACGTTACTGGAAAACATGCAATGATAAATATCATTTTTATTCATTTATTCGTTTATTTCTCACCAATATCCACGTAATTCACTTATTATCATTATTTTTGTCGTAATCGATTCGGTAAACTTATATTTATTAATAATATTCCTCAACGAAGACATGAAGGAAGAGTTCTAGATGAATATGTGTCAGAATAATGGGGTAAGAGATAAAAAAATGTATGGTCATTTGTAAATATGACGAATGAATGAAGAATGAACACATTTGGAATATAAAATCATACATCAGGATTTATCTTTCTACTTGCATGAATAAAAATGTTCATTACCCCTCAGAAAAAAAATAAAATTTTCTAATTACTCAGTGACGTCAAGGTAAAATCCATTCAGCTGCTGATTAGATCTCCTTAATGACATAATCATGTTCAATTCCGTAATCATCGAGAATCAAGAGTCAAGATTTTCTCATTGACAGTGAGATAAGGAAAACCGGAGATAAATCATCTGGAAAATCCATAGTGTTTTGTTTATCCCGCGAAAAGTGAAATTTACGGAAGTGCGATAAAAACGAATCCTGAATGGTCACGTCGCTTTCAATTCATTGTACTTATACTTATTTTCATATGGTGATCTCAGGTGTTTCAATTATTTTGCGAAATATGTTTCAACGGTTTTGTGGGAACAGTCGAGACACTCGGACAAAAAATACCGGAAGTCCCATTGTCACGGTGACAAGTCGTTAGTTTTCCCCGCAAATTGGTTATTTTTTTATTTATGGTAATTATTGAATGACCTCAAAAATCGGTCAACCGAGTTCTCTGTGGAGGAGGAAATCATTGAAAAATTGTATGAGGATTGATCTCTGCGATAAAACCATCTCGCATATTTGTGGTTTTTGTTCTTTAATGGAAATTGCAATCGTCGATTGCAATGATTTTTTTTTGTCTCTATAAAATTATTAAAAATTCAATTGGTGGAGCGATGAGAAAAGAGACTGATGAGTAATAAGTTTACATGAATTTTTTGAACTCAACGTTTATTTTAATGTTTTTAAAAAAACAATATTATTGCACTCATGAAGATACATTTTTAATGACAATTATTTCAGATATCAGACTGAAAGCTTTAAAATTTGATTAAAGTATTTGATCGGACTGCTCCGATTTCAATTCGAAACGAGAAATGTAATTAATTATTCTCATTATTAATCCTTCATTATTTTTTTTGCTGTATTAACCATTTTAATCGAACGAGCGTTGATTGGCAACGAAAATTTTAATTACAATTAAGCGAAAATCTTGGTATAAATTATTTCACAAGTGAATTTGTTGGAATTGTAATAAATTTCATTGAAATATTTCATACGAATACTTTCTTGTGTAATTTTTTTATCAGTACAAACAAAAGTATTTATTCATTTAATTAAGCGCTCATTTATATGAAGTATGGGGCAATTATGAAAATCATACAAAATTAGAATTAAATTTCGAGGATCAATTATACGATCAGCGATAACATGTCATTTTTGCTTTAACACAACCGACAATCTGTAACGATATAATCTTAATATTTTGCAGTTATATTTTGCAGTTTACATTTGAGTGTTTATTCTTCAATAAAAACGTTATCAATAAATTTCGAGGTAGACAATAAACCTCTTGACCTAATTGCATCACGTAATTCCATCCTTTGTAATCCCGGGTAAAAAAAAATTCCAATCGGAATATTTTTTCAGATTTTCCCAAAAAAATCGGGAAACAAAAAAATTATATTTTTGAGAAAGGTCTTTATAATTTTCTAGAAATTTTTGCGAATATAATTTTTTCTTTTAATTATACTGTTCTCTTCTTTTTTTTGATTTTTCAATATTCTCAAAAAAACGCCATCTAAATTATAAAAAAAATTTTCGGAAAAGTTGTCCAGAAATTTTTTTTGAAAATTTGAAAAAAATATTCCGATTACAATGTTTTTTCACCTGGAATGTTTTCACATGATCACCCCGTGATGGGACATTAAGTACCAGTCAATGTACTCCAAATAATTATCGGATTTAAACATTTGATGATAACGAGTAGCCGAAGGGTGGGAGACAAATGATAAAATGTTGTGGCGCAGTGAGAGGTCCTTCAGTATTGCCAATCGGTGCGCAAAGTGAACCGAAGTAAGTGCCTCTGAGTATTTATCCGATAAAAATTTCCCATTACCGAATTAATTACCATCGAAACACAAAGTGAAGCAATAAACAACTATCGAATAAAATCGAATCAATCGGATTGGATCGGTTCGACCTCTCGAACATAACCGGCCATTGACGGACGAATTTAATCTTTTATCGAGACAAATTGAATCATCGTGGAACGGTCCACCGGCACCGAAAAGAGTTTCAATGCGTAGGCGTTTGATTCGATTGAAATTTCTATGTGTCGATGAATTTCGGTATTGGGTGTGACGCGACGAGAGCATTCGGCCAGTCTCTTTCTATTAAACTCTATTTGTTGCTTTAGTTTTCATGGTGAACGCTATGCACTATATATTTCCATGCGCTATTCAGTGACACGTGACGTATTAATCGTGATAAAAGACACGGAAGGGGGGGGGGGCTTTGTGTACTCACGATTTGGGTATTGATCATTGTTTATATGAAAATGCTATGCAATATATGAAATGTTCTATACAGAAAGACATTTCAATATCCAATATGAATGACGGACCTTATGGGACTGATAATTCACGTAATTTTTCACGGAAACTTCTGACAGAAATTACGGAGCTCATGAACAAATTTCGTGATAGTTCCGGAGAATTTTCTTTGAGCAATTTTCGTTTTGGAGGTAGAACAAGTTCGGTAAATTTAATTGAATAGTTTCCTCTACGCACTGTTGGAAAATTACCCGTGAAATTTCAAGTAAAGAAAGTTTTATTTTTTAAGAACGGTAAATTTACGGGAAATTTCGGGAGAATTTTTCGTTGTCGAAGCGGGTAATTTCTGGAAAATTCATTTCTTAATTTTTTAATAAATGAAGCAGTCACGGACTCATGATTTAACATGAGCAGCTCAATTTTATTGAATTTTCCAAATAAATGGTGAATTTATTGTTCATTTCAATTGAAATCAAATTCAAACTCAAATAATTGACATTTGAAATTAATTTGTGATTGCAATTGCAATAAATTTTCAATGCTGTACCCTGGCACTTGATAATTTGGACAGGATTATCGGAATATCGGAATATCGGATTCACAATTAGATAATGTGGAGCAAAAATTTGAGGAAAAAACGTCATATTTCCTTCGATTTTCTGTTAAAAATTCATGAATCCAGAATAAATTATTACCAATAATAAGTTATTATGTTGTGTTTTTGAAATTTCAATCACGATTTTATCCGAATTTCTGACGGTGTAAGCATGGCCTCCCTTTTAAGCAAAAGTCAGGTAAATATGTCCCTTATTTCAAAAATTAGAGGGAATTTTCGAAGGAAACGTTTCGCGTAGAACGATAATTAATTCTTCAATAAAAGCGCATATGGCTGATCCCATTAGTAGAATGAAATATTAAATGTGATTGATTTTTTAATAGCTTTTGAACTTACTGAAATAGTTATCTCCATCTTCTTGATTTTCCCCAATTTTTACGTGCGTTATACGGACACCGAAAATCGAATTTCTTTGCATATTCAAAGAAAATCAAACAATTGATTTTTAATGAATAAAACTAAAGATAAATTTCCAGGAACATTAAACTAGGCAAATTGACATTTTTTTGAAGTTCAATTTAAACAAGAATTAGCTAACAGTGAAAAAATTAAACATTCACGACGAATAAATTGTTTGTTGTGACATACAGACAATAAAAAATACTGATATTATCACTCGAGTTATTCGATGAAAAAAGTGTAAAAATGCAGAGCAGCAATTGAGCGGAACAATTTCTACAGAAAATACAGCAATAAAATTAATTGGATATGAACACAACCGTTTATTAGTTTTCCTCTACAACTTCGCTATCCGCCAGTTTTCCGAGATCAGATAATAAAACAAACACTAAACTTATAAAAATTCAATAAAATATTTAAACAAATGCCCTGAGTCTCCTTACGTAATTCTCGCATAGAAATGAGAAAAAAAATAAACACAAATAGAAATTACATGAATTTTCCAATTATTATAAACACAAAGAAACAAAATTTCTGAATACATCGGAATTTGCACGGTATTTTACACGAGTGACAAAAACCGATCGTAAAATTCAAAACGAGACAGGTAACAGAGAATGAGAACATTGAATACGTAAAATTGAGTGACAGTGGAAGCATTATGTCCCCTTGGAGGACTATAATTCCTCATTCTCTCAAAACCACGAGAAAAAAAAATACAAGTGCCGGGCGTCCCCTTCATCGCGATTAGTTGAACGTAGAAACGAATGCAATAGACCATGATCTACATGTTTTCTGTACACCGCGTGAGAACGAAAAGAACTTGTGCGGAATTATAGCGACGATTGAGAAAGGGGAAAGTTATTCACTATTTATGACGCTGTGAAGGACAGATTCCCAAACTCATTGATACCTCATTGATCAGATTTAAAGTGTCTCTCTATTTTTTGTTCGCAGGATGTCGTACAATCTGTCAGTCACACCGCAGTGTAATGCGCCCTTTATTGGCCCGAGTCTAGCTCAGAGTTGTACGGGCTCGCAATTTCTCGTTTTTATGACTTTGCTCGATACGTTTATCAGGACAAATCCTGATGTTTCACAATTGTGTGAAAGAGTTACGCCTGTTAATCCACCGGCCTATTATTATGACTTCATTGTTGTTGGAGGTAAGAATTGTTGAATTTTTTATTTATAAGGGGCACATCTAGTGAGACTTTCTTTAAAAATGTTATTTTTGGGAATTATTTTGAGGAAATGTGTAGCGTTTTATTTTTTGCCATTTTTAGGATATATTTGGGCATGATTTATAAATAGGTAATGATTTTTTTTAACAAAAACTGTCAATTTTTTGGTTGACATTCGCTTTTTTAAAGTCTAGTCTCAAGCAAGTGAAAAAAGTTCTTACACTACTGCAGTGATTGCATCGAGAAAATTTTCGTTTTTTAATTATTAATTATTTACTAACGGCAATAAAATATATATGTTATTAGCATATCTTATGAGGGTATTTACAGTAAATTACCAGTTCGTTAAACTATACTGTTAAACTAGAAGATATTGCCTATGCAATTACTCAGAATTATGAAAAATTTGGAATTCCACAAAATGGCAGAGTTTAACAAAAAAAGTTGACAATTTTTCTGAAAAATCTGATGATTTTTGGCGTACAAAAACTCCATTTTCTATCTAATGAAAAGACTGGAAGGCCATTACATAGAGGGATGTACATAAAATACATAGAAAAAAAATCAAATCGATCGAATGATGTGAAATCGAATTATAATTGCAGCAAATTTGAGAAATGTAGTTTTAAAAAAACGCCTTTGAAGATAAAATAATAATAATTGAAAATAAATAATTGTCATAGATATTAATGTTTATCTTATGTTTGAAATTTTGGTATATATTATATATCAATAAAGATATAGATTATCAAAATATTTGAAAAAAAAAAACGATTTGGGTGTGCCCTTTAAGAAATATAAAATATTTATTTATTAGTTGCTGTTTTTCTACAGTTGTATACTAAATGTTAAAGGCTTCTGCAAATCTCGTCAAATCAATGATTAATTATTTTTTCCACAGAATCAAATTGAAATCTCCAAATGAAAAATCCTCGATTAAATTTTTGTTCATTTAATTTCCTCCAAAGAGAGAAAAGCTACGATGGAGTTATACTCTCCATCCATTCACAACCATTGGTTCGGAAAATTCATCGAGTGTGAAACTCGAGAATTACATTGGAAAATCCGTAACAACATAAATGAAATTTTACACATTGGCCAAATGAATTTCCCTTCAGTTTCGTTAGCATTGAGCAAATATATCGTATTTTTTTCACACTGCTGTACCTCTTTTGTATTAATCGTGTGCATTACATCGATTGTAATCGCCATTTCTATTGAACCATTGAACGTGAAATGCAATTCGATGGGTTTAAATGGGAAATTAATACAAACTATTGGGTGGAGACTTCCTCTCGTGTTTGTGTCATTATTGCATCATTAATTCAATTTCCATTCTTAGTTGTTTTGGGAATTCTCGTTGTTCGTAGGTTTGAATTCAATCGTGTGAGGGATATTCGGGTGTGAAGGCATAAACTTTTGGTATTTGTTGGATTATTGCCCGTAGAATTGAATATTTCCATCCATCATTGGCGTTTAATTTATGCAGATAATCGTCGGTAATTAATGTACCAATACACAGTGATAGAAAAATTCCACTAGAATTTTTTTCTCATCGTTCATCTCATCCCTTTATTGATTCTTTCCCACATTTCTTATTTCCATTGAGATTCTCCCTCTCATTTTATATTTCTGGAACTTCCGGAACCTTTTCTGGGGGTAATAGAATCCTCGCGTTGAAATTTAGGAGTACAATTCAGTTGTGAAGTAGTTGCAATCATTATCTCATGATTCATTTGCACATGCTCTCTCCTCTAGGCCTTAAAATCATCAGCCAATGTTGCCTACACCCTTTGACGATCTCATTGAAAAGTTCATGTTTCATTCTCAAGTTCATTTGAACCTTTCATCGTTACCCATGAATGAGTTATAAGTTTGACAAATTTTGTTCAGTCAGGGGAAAATATATAGTGCATCAACTGAGTCTACAAACTGCTGGCTAACTTTCTCTGAATCGCTAATGGGAAGAAGGGTGCATTTGTCGAGAAAGCTTGGGGATGATGAAGAAAATTCGGTGCTCTTCCCTTTTGCTTACGTGTTCCCTCATTCGAGAATTTGACTTGAGCTAATTATCCTTGCGCAATCAAACAAATCAGCAGTTTTCCTCCATTTCTCATAAATACTTTTCCTGAAAAAACCAAATAAATAATTAAAATAATTACCTACAGCATTTCAATTGTATTAAACAATTCCTACGAAAAGATTTATCATTCAGATATCCGGAAAAAAATGAAAAGATGAAAAAATGCAATGAATGATTCAACAGTCAGCATTTTTCTCCTTCTCATTAGTTACGGACGATGGTTCTTCTCAAAGCAAAAAGACAATACCGCAAACTTCAATTACATTGTAACACCATCCCCTCCACCGGTTTTCAAAAAATCCGCGCTGACGAAAATGAATATAAACCGTGAATTGTACGGGTCAATGATATCACCTAATGACAGTTCATTACCCAGGTATTCCCTACTATTCCGTGCCCGAGGTAATTAGCTCGACAAACGATGGAGTGATTAGTGAGTCGTGGGCTTTCTACTGCAACACAATGCATTTCCCTCTTCCCCCATCACTAGAAATCCCTGATGCTTAGCACGAGCTTAGCAATTTCACATTATCAAAACCATATCAATATATAATACGACGTACATTGATTAAAACAGATTAATCAAAGTAATTGCTTAATGAATGACAATTTCTAAATGTGAGAGTAGAATTAAAAATCAATTGCTCAAAAAATGGAATCAAAGGAAAAGGATACAAATGGGATATACTTCTAGGTATCGACCAGTAGACTAAACGATCTGAAAAACCCGACTATATTTTCGTATCCTCATTATCCACCAGATTCGAGCTTCAATTTCTCAGAATGACAGGTGATGAAGGCAAGATCACAATACCGTATCTAAGAACACATTGAAGTATTTGCAATCGGAGGTCGATGATCGAAGAAGTGGAAGAGACGCTTCAGCAATGAAAAATCGTAATGAATATTGTAGGACAAGGCTGTATCGATAGGGAGTATATCGATAGTCTACTGCATCGATAATGAACCCAATCGTTCGCAATCTTCATTTAAGTGCATCGATATTGTACCCAATACTGACTCATTCCCAAATTCTTCCATTTCAGCACATCCTAATTATACGCTGGCAGTTATCATCACTGCTTAATGCTCTGAATAATTATGTTCTCATCTCTTATTAAGTCATCTGCTAATGGTTTCTTTTCTCAAATATATTTCCTTCGAGTTGTTCTTCATCTGTAGAGTAGAATAAGAGATATTGCAATGTTAAAGACGATCAGCTCCCACGCGATGCTACGCGATAAATAATTCAGTATCAGCATCTCCAAAAACCATTGAATGCATTAAGAAGATCGAATCAACTACTGAAACTTGCAGGAGGATCCGCTGGTGCAGTGGTAGCTGCAAGATTGAGTGACGTTCCTAACTGGAAAGTTTTACTACTAGAGGCTGGACCGGATGAGCCACCTGGCGCTGATGTGCCAAGTATGGTGGCAATGTATCTCGGTAAGTACTACCAAAACTTGAGAAATGTAAGGGATGATTACAAATATTCTTGTTGCTATTCAGGCTCCGAAATTGATTGGCAGTATAGAACGATTAATGAGACGAACGCTTGTCTATCGTCGAACGGATCATGCAGTTGGCCGAGAGGTAAAAATCTCGGTGGAACATCTGTTCATAACGGAATGATGTACATCAGGGGGAATCCCAAGGATTACGACGAGTGGGAGGCGATGGGCAACGTGGGCTGGAGCTGGGAACAGGTATATTCACATGATTCAGATAGACTTTCATGACTTTCAGGAATCTCTAATACTCAAATTCATATCCAGGTATTGCCTCATTTTTTGAACATGGAGAACAATGCAGATGTTAAAAAGTTGAACAGAAGATCTCACAGTATCGGTGGGCCTTTGAATGTCGAAAGGTTTCCTTGGCGTCCTCCAATATCAATGGATATCATGCTAGCTGCGAAGGAGCAAGGTTATGGCATTAGTAATGATCTCAATGGAGACCAGTTAACTGGATTCACCATAGCCCAAACAAATAGTCGAAATGGTGTGAGAGTTAGCAGCGCAAGAGCTTTTCTGACTCCCGTGAGAGAACGACATAACCTCCATATTGCTCTTAATGCAACAGTCAGGAGAATCATTTTCGAGAAACTGCGTGCAGTGGGAGTTGAGTACATGCAAGATGGAGAAATCCGAACAGCTCGAACCTCACGGGAGATCATTGTCTCCGGTGGTGCAGTTAATTCACCCCAACTACTGTTACAATCTGGAATCGGTCCCACCGAGCATCTCAATGCTGTCAATGTGCCGGTGGTCAAGGATCTCCCGGGCGTTGGTGAAAATCTCCAGAATCATGTGTCTTATACACTCACTTATACAATAAATGAGTCAAATGAGTTTGATCTCAACTGGGCATCAGCTTTGGAGTACGTGGCTTATCAGAGCGGACCGATGGCATCTACCGGCTTGTCACAAGTAACTGGGAAACTGGCCTCCACCTATACTACATCGGATCATCCTGATTTGCAGTTTTATTTTGGAGGGTATCAGGCGGCTTGTGCTGTTACTGGACAAGTTGGGGCATTGATGGACAATTCGAGGAGAAGCATCAGCGTTTCACCGACTAATTTGCATCCTAAGAGCAGAGGTATTTATGCATCAAATGATTCCTCACAATTCGCCATTTGTATACGAACTGGTCTTTCAGTACTGGGGTAAGAATATCAACAGGCTATTAATACTTCAAATTTGCATTCTAGGAACGATACGATTAGCAAGCAATGACCCACAAGCGAAGCCATTGATACACGGCAATTACTTTAGTGATCCCCAGGATGCAGCTATTTTATTAGAAGGCATTCGGTATGCTACATCTCTAATGAATTCCACTGCTCTGTCAAAATACAATATCTCTCTGACGTATCCGGCAATACCGGCTTGTCAACGATTCCAATTTCCAAGCATGGAGTATTGGAATTGTGCAATCAGGCAGGAAACTGGACCGGAGAATCACCAAGCCGGTTCATGCAAAATGGGACCGGCTAATGATCCAATGGCTGTTGTCGATTCAAAACTCAGGGTGAAAGGAATCCTCGGATTGAGAGTTGCTGATACTTCGATTATGCCGAAAGTACGGGAAACATTTTTTCGTTATACGCTAAATACCTCGATCTTACGATTTATTTATTACTGTTTTTCTTCTTTTAGGTTACATCGGGGAATACAGCAGCTCCTGCGATGATGATTGGTAACAGAGCTGCAGCCTTTATCAAAGAATATTGGTTGCAGCGCTCTCTCAACTGGTACAAACCCTACTTCTTCAAAAACAAGTGGTGAAACTCTAATCAAAATTATCATTTATAAATCAATCTCAGCCATTGAAAATACTGAAGTTATCAGTTTAATCGAGTTACCTCAGCAAGCAGTATATGCCGATATACCAAAGATCGTAATCTTCGGATTACCACAGCGAACGTGCGTTTCGGTATATTTATTCCTAGTTAAATAATCAAGATAGAAACTCCAGTATAAATGATAATTATGTAAAATCAAATTTCAATTCAATATTATAACTACGTGTGTATGTATCGTAAATAATCTCATGATTATCATGTTATGAATGATTGATTTGACTTGTACTATTTTTCTGAAAACATTTCCTGTTTTGAAAACAATGTTCTGTATACAATTTTGTATGGAAATAAACTGCTACCTCAGTATTGATTTCTCAATTAGGACAATATTTCTCACTCATTTACCTATAATCAATCTTATTTTTTTATGCTCATAAATTTAGTGGGCAAAGATGAAGGGGAAAATAAAAAGAAATAGACAACCCCGTTGATTAAATCGTCGCCACATAACGCACGTGCCATTCGGTAACGGATAATTATAAATTGTATGGGCATGTAGAGCTCAGTACATAGTTTACCTCGATATCTATCACAATGATGGTAATAACCGTCTTCATTTTCGCTGACATTTTGACAATGATGCACGAGTGGTTCAGCGATTCCCAGAAGTTACGTACTTTAAAATGAAGTCTTCATTGTCAATGTCGTATAAATGTGCCGTTAGTTTGAGACGCTTCAAAATAATCATTACGTTGCCATGAATGATTAATAGAATCGAGAGTAATGAGTTTTCCAGGAACAATTATTACAAATCTATGCATTGCATTGCGACTTCATTCATAATCATTTTTTACGATGAATGAACAAGCTATCCCCGTGTTTTTAAAAGACCCACATGACTCGGGTTTCGTTGATTCGCTGAAGGATATATAAATAGAAAAACTTTTTACGGAAGAACCATTGCTTGATTGTTTGTTGATCGGTAAAGTTTCAAATTTGATGACAACATGGTTTGTATTTCCTTCTATCAACTTTTCATAATTAAATTGTAATAATCTCTACCAAAGATGATGTTTTTGTAATTACAACTGATATCGTTTGTTTTGACTTCCGTTTTTGAGCCAGAAGAATGACTGTTTCTTTGGAATATTCACAGGCAACTCAAGGAGTTTGTCCGAACCCATTTAACGGTGGGATTCCCATGATTAATGTGTGCCCAACAACAATAGCTTCATTCGCATTTCTCGTGAATGCAATGAATGACATTATCCGTACGAGTGAATCAATTGGAGACTCTTGTGGTCGTGTTACACCAAAGACAAGATCAAGACTGATTTACGACTTTATCGTAGTCGGAAGTAATTCACCTGTATTTATTGTCTTTGAGCACTAAACTATGGAATTGAATAACTCTGGATTAACTTTACTGTGATAAATGACAGGTGGTGCTGCTGGTAGTGCAATTGCAGCGAGATTAAGTGAAGTATCAGATTGGAGGGTATTACTTCTGGAAGCTGGTCCGGATGAACCAAATGCAGCGGAAATTCCATCAAACTTCGGAATTTATATCGGTAATAATCAAATTTAATCATCTGTTCTCGAGTGGTATATCTGTAAACTCAATCGAAACTTGTGTAGGCAGCGATATTGATTGGAAATATAAAACGTCTAATGAGTCGTATGCTTGTTTGGCGAACAATGGGTCGTGTTATTGGCCCCGTGGACGTAATCTCGGTGGTACTACGGTGCATCATGGAATGGCTTATCATCGGGGTAATCCCAGGGATTATGAGAATTGGGTTGATATGGGTAATGAGGGGTGGGGATGGGACGATGTGAGTTTCTTGCTGTTGTTACTTTTACTGTGGGGGCATGGATTGAGGTAATTAAAGCTGTTTGTCTGTGTAGGTGCTTCCGTTCTTCATAAAATCTGAAAATAACACAGAAACTGATAGAGTGGGAACCAAATTGCATGGAGTCGGTGGACCTATGACTGTTCAACGGTTAGTATCTTCAAAAATAATGATAACCTTGATTAGTATCTCAACGAAAAAGTCAGACATCAACTCCAAATTGTCATTCAGCTTTGAGAATCGTTACCAAAACCCATTCTTGATTGTCTTCTAGTTTTCCCTATCAACCAGAATTCGCCCAGTCCATTTACAAAGCTGCTCAGCAGACGGGTTACGGGATCATTGAAGATTTAGTTGGCGAGAAATACGTGGGCTTCAACATCGCTCAAACAATGAGCAAGGATGGAGTGAGACAAAGCGCAGCATCAGCTTTCCTTAGACCAGCTAGAAATCGAAAAAATTTGGACATCGTTGTCAATGCGACTGTCACTAAATTACGAACAGTGAAAACTAGAGTCACTGGTGTGGAGTATGTCAAGGTATGTCATAAAATCCGAAACTCATTGCAATCGTTCACCGCATACGACGTGAAATATATTTCTCATACTTGATAGGATGGAAAACGCCATAGCGTATTGGCCAAACGTGAGGTTGTACTCTCTGCTGGAACTGTCGGTTCTCCCCAACTACTTCTTCTATCCGGAATTGGTCCAAAGGAGGAGCTGCAGGCCAAAGGCATCCCAGTGGTACTTGACTTGCCCGGAGTTGGAAAAAATCTTCACAATCATGTATCCTACAGCATTGATTTTACCCTGCCCGAGGTCAAAGCCAGTGGTTACACTCCAGACAACATTGCTACTTATTTGTACAATCAAACTGGGCCAATGTCCTCCTCTGGATTGGCACAAGTGACAGCGATTTTAGCGTCTCAATACACAACACCGGATTATCCTGATATACAAATATTTTTCTCCGGGTATCAGGCGTCTTGTCGGCAACAAGGTGATGTAGATTTACTATCCATCGGGGATAAAAGGACTGTACGATTTACCGCTGTAAATTTGCATGCGCAGAGTCGGGGTAAGTACACTCATTATTTCATGATGTGATGCATCATAGAACGTGAGAGATCTTTTTGAATTTCTTGAATGTCTCTAACATGTTTGAGGAACTGATAAAATATCATAGATAAATGTGAATTCAGTTAAAAATTAGAGAAAATTTCATGGGTTCCCATATTCCCATTGTATTCCACAGCTATTCTTCTAGAGAATGCCGGAGTTGCCTGGTTTTTCCAACAATATCAAAAGATGGACTATTTTGAGATCCTTGGAATCTTTGTTTGCGTCTAGATTAGTTCCTCTGAGTGGTAATGAAACGAATATTAGATGCGAATTACTGATTTCTAGGAGCGATAACTCTAGCCTCATCAAATGGTCTGGACCATCCCATAATTTGGAGTAATGACCTCGCTGAGCCTAGGGATGTTGACGTACTGGTAGCAGGACTCCAAGTTCTACTCAAACTAGCTAATTCCAAGGCAATGAAGTCACTGGGACTGAAGGTTGGAGATAAACCACTACCGCAGTGCAGTCAATACAAATACCTTACAGATTCATACTTCAGATGTGCTGTGCACATAAATACAAGGACGGAGAATCATCAAACGGGTACATGCAAGATGGGACCAGCGTCAGATCCTTTGGCTGTTGTTGATTCACAACTTCGGGTATACGGAATTCAGGGACTGCGCGTTGCTGACGCATCCGCTCAACCAAAAGTAAGATGCTCAGGTTCATTTGGATTTCGAGATCTCATGATTTCCTTTATTTCAATTTCCAATGCTTTTCGTTTAGGTTGTTTCTGGTAATCCTCACGCATCTGTTACGATGATGGGCGAAAGAGCTGCAGATTTCATTAAGAAAACATACTTGAAGGCGAACGGAGTCAACAATTTTTTGGCGAACGCTGGAAATGATGAGTATGAAAGCCGTGGAAGTCAATCATCTCAAGATGATGGAGGTGAATCTTCCGAGAATGAAGCTGGTGAACACTCGAATGAGGGGAACGAATCATCTGAGGTTACAGCAGCTGAATCGATTGAACCCAATGAACGTAAGTCTTCCGAAAATGAAGTAGTCGAATCAACTAAAAATTCTGTAAATAAATCTTGCGATAATGTAGAGGCCGAATCGTCTAACAATGATGACAACGCGGACAACAATTGAAAACTTGAATACCCTGGAATTTTCTATCGCTTAAAATCCTTAAATCCTCCAATTCCTTAAATTGTGACTTCTAATAAAGAATAAAATTTTATTGCAATTGATTTCCTTCAAGTCTCCTTGGGAACGAATTCCAAATTTATGGACTTCTAATCCATTATAGAATAATAGATTCCCCATCACGAAAAAATAAACCCAGAGGTGGAATTCAACTCATTAAAAAAGATGATGTAGTCTTTTCACTTGTATGATCTCCATCAGGAACCAGTTTGAATTATGGCTCCAATAATTGCACGATTAGCGGAATATTTTTTTGAATTACCGAGTAATTCGCTTACACATCATCTTTGCATTCACAGGTTTAACTCGTCACTTGTTATTGTAATCCAACAAGATGATTCCACTTGACATTTCACAATACCATACTAAATATATTTGTTTGCTAATTAATGTATCTTTATACATAGCACTCCACTTGGAAAGTAGGGGCTGATTAATATTGCAACCCATCTGCCAGATTCGTGAATCGATATGATTAAGATCGATATTTATCCAGATTTACTCGAATTACCGATAAACGCCGGGCAGGTGTGATTTAACTGATTCCGGAATGAGATACCGAATAATCTCGAGGAGTTCGCCCCTATGTCTGTTCTTAATCGAGGCGAGGACGAGAATTATTTTTAATTTGAATGTACGGGTGCATTGAACGAACAGTTCATTATTTAATTTCGCAATGTTAAATGTAGGTCGTCGCATTCCGTGGAGTCGTGCAGAGGATTGCGGAATCGATACGATTTATTCCCTCAAGTTCGGATTGAAAGAAAATTAATAATTTATTCAAACTTTGAAAAATCATCGAGCACAACAGCACAAAATATCTTAATGACTTTTCCGAAACTATTTTTCTTCCAACGGAATGACGTATTTGAATTTTCATTCCGGAATCATTAATATTCTCTACACGAGAAAAATTGATTTCGCAGGAACCGATTACTCATTCATTGGTCTCAGATTAACTATAGACTAACTCCAGAGAGCCTCCATTATCGGACGAAAGTGTCTCGATATTTTTTAGCCGAATGAATATATTTTCGTCAGGGAATTTTTTTTTTCCGCGTCGGAATAAATAGCGGTGATGCATATGTTTGAGATTTGTAACAAGTTTCATCGAATAATGGGATAAACAAACGATAAATAAAACATTGGAAAATCGGAGGTGTCAACTGCATATATTGACGGATACCAGTAACAGCGGTCGTACATCATAAGGAGCTTTGAATTTCATGAGAGTCGGAGGGATGTGACCGCATTCGGAATACATTCATGGGATGCGATAGTGAGTGATACAAAAAAGATAGATATAAACATATATTTGTGTCGAGGAGATCGTCCGGAGAAACGTATTGCATTGGATCAATTCGAGGTCAAGTGGGTCTGAGAAAAACTAAACGAGAAGTTGAAAAAATATTGAGAAGTGGTTACTTATGGATTGCAAACGACTGTCAATAAAGGGCGCTTCAGAAAATACAATTTATTGCAGTAATGAGAGGAATCCTACACTTTGCAAAATAATGAGGGACGGAGGAAAATCGAGTTTTAAATTGTCGTTATATCGTACTACCTAGGGAAAAAAAAATCATTGAAATTAAAGTAAGAGTAAACTCCAGTCAAGTCATTAATTGTAAGAAACAAAACGGATTTGAAAGTTTATAAAAATTGTAGGTTCTAATTGAATATTTAAATACGATCACTAAATTGAATAAATTGAGCTTCAATAAAAATATAAAACCACCGAATATTTCCAGATTAATTATTTTTTAATGCTCTGGTACTCTTCTCATGGACATGGACAATTACATGTCGTTTAATTAGACAGTTAATATTTTCAGTTTTTAGAAATTTCACTTCAGAGATCAATCCTTGAAATGAATTTGACTAATTCAATTCCAGTCGAGGTAATGTAATCATCATCGACATATTATTTCCAGATTGTCTTAAATTATCATTGTACCATATAGTATTCATCCGGGTTAATGATGAGTGACAGACATCAACATTCTTATATTATTTAGAGTTCTGAAGCGCCATTTGGGTTCTGAAACACTAATGAAAACTAAACTGGGCATCAACAATGTTAGACATGCATTTACGATTACATAATAAATAAATTAATTGAAAACACCGCATTGAGTAGCTCATTATTAATCCTGGGCTGAAAATACCTCTTTACTTCACTTCCACGTACGGCCTTCCCGCCGAAAGCTGTCAATCGAACGAAATTATCAATTAATTAAAGAATCGAGTTATCTGTCGCTCTCGCCCAGTGAAATCCGGACGAAGCAATCATATTACTGACGAATGATTCCTTCGAATGAACTTACGTTTTGGATTGTCCAAATACTCCAGTGCCATCAACTGCCGTTAATTGAACTCATCAGTACTGAATATGAGTAATAGGGTACTAATTGTTCATAATGACAATACACAACAGTAATTGACTTTTCTACTCATTGATAACCTAAACATAAACATATACATATCCCATGAAAAGACAGCAAACGAAGTAATTAAAATCGCAATTCAAAATGATTTCCTTCATCATCAAAAGTGAATAAAACCTAATATTACACATGTCGCTGATTACTGCCTGAATAATATGTTATGGAAATATAAATAAGGTAATGAATAGTAATAAACCACTTGCAAACGAATAAACGGATTACGAATCCCGAATGACAATGGAGAATTGATAATAAGTCAATTCCATCTCAGTGAACATATCAGCAGCTATAATTACTTTCATTTGTCTCCGTAATAACATTGGTACAAACGAATAATTCCTCCCATGAAAAATTCTCACAGAAACTATTATTGTACATCAGAGTATTGGTATTACACTCCGGATATTTCCCTGTTAAATCGGAATATCAACGACAGTGTGACACTATCGATTCTCCCACGAATTTTGTATCACCTCTATCCACCAAGGCAAAGGGGAGTGAGAAAAGTGGGGGAGGTGAAATGTCGATAATGCCAATCGAGAGTACAAATACACAAATATTGTCGAAGCATGTAAATCGTAAAAACAATGAGACTCGTCACTCGGTGGTAAAGAGAGAGATGGAGGAAAGGATTTATGCATTGGCGGTTCTGCGTATACCACTGTCATCGGGTTCACAAATTTCATATATACCTTGTATGTACACCAGTCTAACCCATATACTCCATTTTCTATGCGAATAGTTTGTCGTTCTGTCGAGCATTTCTACATTCAAACAATGTTCCAAGGATGCTTCCGCTGCGGGTTGAGGATGTAAGTATGATTTGTCCTCTACTATATATTTTTCGTATTGTAAATTGAAATTCATTTTAATTCCATTCTCGATTTATCAGTGAATTGGCACACGATAATTTCAAGTCAAATTGGATTTCTATCTTCTCTATCAAAATCAGACTATTAACGGGAATATAGGAAAGGACGGGGCAGAACGGATGGCAAGGATAAAAAATAAAAATCATAGAGAATTGCCAATTTAGTTATAAGAGAGTTTCGAGTGCGGAGTGTAAGCTGATTGAAATCATCTCGTTGAAATTGAATTATTGATACTTTTCAATTTTTTGATGAGGATATTGGAAAATCCCCCCTGTACAGGGTATTACCGTCCCTGTTTTTTTGCCTTCAGTAATCCAGCGCCAGCCGAAGAACTCAAAAGTGGGATGAACTCACGCTATCTTCTTTCCTGAGTACAACGTTGCAGTGGCTAGCATTTGCCCTGGAGGTAAAGCCTGGCTAGTTGCAACCTACCCCCTTCCACCATCAAAAAGACAGAAAGGGTTGCATCCAACCCCGGTGTTGGGTTTAACAAGTGATGCTATCTACTCGGATGAATGCCCTTCCCCACCTCAACCTCGTCGTCAACTGCCCAACCAACCTAACCCATCGGTCTAACTACTGTGGCCACCTTGATGATATCTACCCCGGCGTTCGTTACTGCCACGAAGCCCATAAGGTAGTGGCAAATCCTGAAGAAAGAGGTTACGTAGACGCGTGAATTTTCATCGAGAATGAGGACACGATGAGGTAGCATCATACTCATATAGGAATGCAATCTGAAAAGAGAAGTTGTCACATCTCCACCGCTTTCATAGGTTAGGACAGTGCTCCACTGAAGATGCAGATATTTCATTCATGGAAAATAGCTGAAAAAGAGTCACCAGCAGAGAAAAAATATAAACATGAAGTAAAGAATGCTGGATGCAGAATTGGAAATGTCTTCGTCAATCTTCAGAGTGTTGGAGATGACTTCCGTGATGCTCAGATTTATGGATATTCCGGGACAATTAAGTACCTGTATCATCACTCACTATGTATCATGTATCATGTACTATGTATGTTCTTTACATAGTAGACAGGAAATTTGTATAGCGTTCCGCATCTTTGTGACGTCAAAGAAGTCGTTGGATAAGATTTGGATTAGGTAGGAAGGAGAACAGAATAATTCTCGATATAATTTTTATAAGAAAAATTACTGAAAAAATGGATAGTCCAGGCCGGGATTTGAACCCGGGACCTTCCGATTATGCATCGGGTGCTTTTTTTTTCAAGTTTATTTATTTAGTAGTTTGATTTGTTAAATTGTTTAAACGCTTAAATTAACTCTGAGCAACAAAATTGTTTAAGGCAGTTCAGATTTATCAGAATAGGTGATTTGTAGGAGAAACATCTTTGGGTAATATTTATCGGGGTTGTTTATGAATGAATTCATGATACCTGGTTTTCGCATTGCGTTGCACGTCTGGAGAATTTAGGATCTCACTGGGGATGAGAAAAAAAAACCACGAGACCTGATGATGCATCAGGTGCTCTCCCAACTGAGCTATCCGGCTTCTAGCCATTTCTTCATTTCACTTTTCTTGTATATATCGAGCACCGCCGTCCTTCATACGGCAATCATAAGGACATTTTTCAAAATACATGCGATACGATGAAGTTGTATGTGCACCTGTTACGTCACTCTGGGTGTTCCTAGGAAAGAAGATCACGTTGTGATGTCTCTCTTGGGCGATGAGAGCAACTTTCTTGATGTGTTAGGAAGTTGTG